CTGCCATGGTCGATGCTATTATAATATAGTGGTCTGTGCGTGCAACCTATGGAAATCTTTCGAAATGAAATGCTGAATCAGATTTAATCTGTAAAATTGATTACTTTCCTATAAATATTTGGTTTCTAGCATCGCTGAGTTGTCAACTCAAAAGCCCATTATCGACCAATAATAATTTTAAGTTGCTTTTATTCCCCATAGGGTAAGATACGCGTTAGTGTAGCTTACTATAGGCAAATCGTAATGAATAAAAATTTAGTTTCATATTTCTAAAACGTTCTTGTTTGTCAGGTGCGGGCATGATGGTTACATGGCAACCATAATGATGACGAGACTATAAAATCTAAAAGCGTAGTTTTTAATTAATTTTGAAATTTATTATTATACCAACGAATAATGAGACTTTTATCACGAGATCCCGTGTTCGGTGTAAAAACACTTTTAAATAATTATTATAATATTTAGCACTAAACTTTGACACAATAATAATAATATAAAAAATAATAAACTAAAATAAAAGAACTATTAGAGTTAAAAGCACTGAAATATTATTACTTATTTGAAACTTATTTTTGATCGATAACCTATAACGACTGTAACATTAAAAACAAATCATGCCATTATTATGAAAACAGCCAGGGTTTGATTAATATTTTTTAAACTAAAAATCAAAAGATTTATTAAGTCTTAAGATGCTTTTTATACATTTTTTAAGTTTTATGGACATATACAATGTAGTTCTAACAGATATATTATCCCTTTATTTTTATAATTATGTTTGATGATACTGCAGTTTATTTTTAAACATTTTTTACTTTGTTAAACTTTTTTCATTATAATTGACAATTAGACTTTAGAGCATTAAATATCGAAACAAAATATTTCCAATAAATAATATGTGTGTTATAATTGTTAGATTTACATTTTTTCAAACCTTATATAATCAATTAAAAAAATATATAATTTTTATCATGCTTTTAAAAACAAGCTAAACTTATCATGCTTTTATTTCACAAACTAATATTAATTTTAAAAGTAACAGAAGTTAGGATACAATGTGTTTTTTATATTTAACTATACAAAGTCAGTTAACAATTTAAACATAAAATTAAAGTTCGATCATCATATTTTAAATACCTACAAATAAGCATAAGTAGCTCGATTTATTATGAAAACTTTATTTATAATTTGAAGTCTCAATAAACAATTGTGTCAATTTTTTTCGAATAAATGAGCAATAATAATTATAAAAATTAATGATTATTTGCTATTTTTTCTAGGTTATTTTTATTGTAAACGATATTACCGTCTTTCTCTTTCGGTTTAATCGACTACGTTTAATTTTAACTAGAAAAAATACCATAAAAACATAAAAATAATGTTTCCGTTCAGACATTTATCTCGAAGAATAACGCAGGAACGTTCCAATATGAGCGTTAAAAGGTGTCGGGGCGATAACAACGGATCGTTTTCTAGGTAGTATGATGGGGCTAATGGACCTTGGTTTAGTGGTGCGGTTACCGATTGCCGTTTGCTAGATAGATATAAAATATTTCATCTGCTGATGCGGTCGTAAAAACAATATTATATATAATTTATAATTTTATGTTATATTTTATTTTAGTATCTACGTGTATAATATTATTATACATATTATAGTAGGTACTAGGTACTTATCGTGGTTGTAACGATGGTGGCGCACGGTTAGGGAGTTAGAGGTAATTTGATGAAGAAAAATGGCGTGTCACTACAAGATAAATCGGACGCGAATGCCAAAAGGTTTGTTTGGTAACAAATCGCCGCCAAAAGTGACTATCTTGTCAACGGGGTGATGGCGGTGGTTAGCGAACAGCCTGAACGGACCGAAAACACACAAACACGCCGGCCTTAGAGCTAAAATAAAAGAGATAGACAAAAAGCACTTTTGAAACACTGCGTCTCCCGTGTGCAACAGACCATTATTCAAATAATAATCCCTTAGGGGGCATTGTTGGCAGTTTTCCAGAGAAAAATTAACGATAAACGTTGTTGCATCGGCAGTGGTGGCGGCGTCGGCAACGGCAACGTCTTTGTCTTAATCGTCCCGACAACCGAATAACACGTAAAGTTTATACGCGAACGTATATTATACTATATACACAGGCATACGGACACAGGATTTTAGTTAGACCTACCCACGTTTAAACTCTGAATAAAACATTCTACAAGTGTTCGCTGGCTGATTAAAAAAACAAAGCTATATCTACAGTCATATTGTAGTACCCCTATAACTGCTTGGTAACGTCTAGAAATGTTAAATTAAGGAAATGTAAAGCAATCTAAGTCGCGGTCGTAAATACAATGAGTAATTATTAAAGTAACTACTAAATTAATAGTTTTGATGGGTAGACAGTTGGAAGCGAATTAATGACCGAACAAAAGTGTGATTTAATATCTATTGTTAATAATTGATATATCACTTATAAACAAAACAGATGAGAGGCGTGACTTTGAATATCTCCTTTAAATCCTAACTTTGTTCGCATGATAATGATGAGCAAACATTGCTGATTACATTTCAACAAAATAATGTCGAAGAGCCTAAATTATTACTTATTGTTATTATTTCAGTATATTACATAAGCCACTTCGTTATAAATTGCCTGTCCGTAATATAGCAAATAAAAATACTTCAAAACAATGTTTTGGAATCATCGATAAATATATAAGAAATGTTACTCGTCAGTTATCATTATTGCTTTATTTTAATTTAGTTGCCGTCGTTGTGGTCGTCATTCACTCATAACTGTTTTTGATCGGTACTTATACGTTTTATAATTAAGATTGTTATCCTTGTTACCATCTACTATCTAATTTCGATTATTCGTAATACTTTTTTACACCTAATGTTACGCTTCGATACGCAAACTTACACGAATGTTAATTTTGAAACTGCTTTATTTGTATGCGTTCAGTAGACATGTTTTGTCGAGTTTTGGAAAGTTTAAATCGCTTAAGTCAGAATAGAGGTACACTATCCAATGCAGATATTATAACTTGGTATCACCCTAATGAGATATGCACGTTTGATAATATTTTTTTTCTGCAGTACTTCGCGGTCTTAGCTATAATATTACTTCTAACGTTCTAACATTAGCACGAAATTTGGAATGATCTACTTCATATAAGACATTAATATATTTCGTTTGTATTATCAATTTAAAAAAAAAAAAGAAGAAAAAAAAAGATAAACATAATATTATATGAATCCGATACTATAGTGATCCTTTATAACTGTAGCTGTTGCATGTCGTGAGAAAAAATTATCTTTTTTTAAGAAGAGGTTACAATAAAAAAAGTCATATAACAAATTATTCAGTAAGACATTGAAAAGATTCAGTTATATAATCAGTTAATACATCTAAAAACGAATATTTCCAGTATAGTGGAAATTTCACGAATGATGGTGTATGGTGTGTAGGTAAATGTTACATATAAAAGAACTTTTAAGAAATCCAAAGAAAATCCGAAGAAATTCGTCCTTAACATTTCAATTGAGCTTAACTCTATTTAGTAAACCAAAAATCGGATTTCTCATCATTTCATATTTTATGGCTTAACTTAACAGACGGTAAAACACCAATAAAAATATATTCAACATACGTAACTTAAATTTAAACAAATGGGCTTAGAACATTTTATTATTTTTGAATGTATATTTCAAGTATAAAACCATATTTTATTTTATTATATATATGAAATATTTATAAAAGTCGAATATATCTAGACTATATTATTTATACAAACTAAATTTGTAAATATTATACACTATTATAATTTACCTTATAATGATGTGTCAAACCTAACCTAATCTAACCGTTAAAATTGTGTTTGCCAAAATGATAAAATGATGTGACACGTGATTTCAGTTAAGAATTTAGTCTGCATCGACGTGGTGTAATTTAATTTTAGTTATTATCATATAATAATTAATAACTAAAACAACTAAAATTTCGTGAAAATCGACGTCTTTAAAGTTCTAGAGCAAACTTTTTTTTTTTTATTACTTTGTTATTGGTTTGTCCTTAAATTATCTATTGTACCATTATTTTTAAACAATCAGTGAGTGTAATATATGAAATTTTTTTACTACAAATTTGTATAAATAATATATGATTATTTATGATGTCTTGTAGCATTTACACTTTTATTATTTTTATAAGCCCTTACCCTCTTCCAACTAAATACAAATTTGTATTCACTCACAAGCCATTTATATTCAGTTCAAATAAAAAAGCACATTTGTAAAACTTTCTGAACATTTCGACTGACCTATATTTTTGTGTTGAAAAAAAAATCATTGTTAAGCTATAGAACTTGCCAATAACTCTAATTTTCAAATGAAATAAAATATTATTTCATTTTGTTTTAAATTTAAGATCAAATAATATTTCCTTCGAAAATCAAATAGGTTAATTATCTAACAAATTTTAATTAAATGTAACAGCATTAAAATAATAAAACATTTTTGAATTTCGTTAAAATCTTTTCATATTATATATAAATATATAATACATACCACTATTTTGTCTTAATTTTTATAATTTTAGTATCGTACAGTTGAGCATAAATTTAGGTCATAGCAATTATATAATAATCACCATTGCATTAACATTTGTTTTCTTTTAATAAAGCTTTTTATTTATTTATTTTTTTTATTTAATAATATTAATTCAATACAATTTTACGAAATATAGCTCATAAAAAACTCCTTTTCATAAGATTTTTTTATTATACGGTTATATTGAGAGTGCAAGGAATTTATAATCAAATCAGGTTTTTGTTCTTAAATTTTAAGATCACTATTTTTTTGATCCAATTTGATTTTACTAAACTTTGTAAAAAATGTAATATATTTGTATTATATACATGTCTCAAAGCGTATTAATTTGTTTATGGTTGTATTTTTATGAAAATAATTTTATTAAACTTCTATTATAAAATGTGTGTTTCTGTTACAGTTCCATCACGAATTAAATCGGTTACATCGGGAGGAAATATTGATACTAAAAAGGACTCTATGATCAAATTAAACTGTGAAGCTGACGGAAATCCTGTTCCTAATATAACATGGACAAGAAAAGTAATATATTATTATATACATTTATATTATCAGTAATTAAGTGTTTATCAATTAATAATTACGATTTGGTAAAACATTTAATGAAATTGCATAGACTCGATTAACAAATACAATCATTATTATTATTTTAGAACTATGAATTATAAATTCTAAATAAACAATAACAGTTTTATGTATCGAAAATTTTATTTCTCTTCGATATAGTCTACATGCTAGAAACTCTTTACAGACACTTACAAATAAGTGCACTATTAAAAATAACAATTATTTGAAAACTGTGTTAGTTTACTATTAATCTTTAGTTATAATGAAAAAGCTGCATGCATATTGAACAATAAATCAAAATGTTTAAAAAGTTTGCAACAATACTAAAATCTATTCAAAAATAATTTTATACTCCTCTCATTTAATTCTGAGTGGATTTCGTAATAAAATAAAATTGGAAAGCTTAATTAAGTTCAACAAAATGATACTTCTTTAACGTGTTTGAAATATCGTTTATAAAATCAGTTTTGTCGACGTGGATCCATCTCAACAATCATTGTATTTTTCTAAATCAACCATATTTTACTGAATAGTTATTTTTATCCATTAACATCCATTTTAACACTTTAGAACAACGTACTTCCAAATGGCGAGCGAAATGCTACTGGCGATACATACATAATTCAATCGGCCACTCGTCACGATGCTGGTCAGTACATATGTACAGCTTATAATGACGTCGGACAACCAGCTGAACAAACTATTAATGTTAACATTTTATGTGAGTATACTTAACATTTTTACGAAAAAAAAAAGTAACTGTAAATAATAAGCAAATACAAATATACAACTTGAAACTTTCAGTTATTCGAAATTAAAAAAAAACCATATAGTACACTGTATAATTTTATGTATAACAAAGTATTTTATAATTCATTGTTTTATTATTTTATGAATTAGTACGATAATGACAGGGTATTAAAATGCTTGAACTTTAGATGTTCACGAACAGTATTCGTTAAATATTTAAAAATATAAAAAGGAAAAATCGATTAATATAATATAATAACTAATGAATAATATAGGTATACATTATTTTATTTTGACTATATTATGATTAAATATATCAATACCTATACGATGTTTAGTTAATAACTGGTAAGATGAAGTAATAGAGAAGTATTACTTATAATCACTAAGGCCACAAAAAAAAAATATATATATATATATTATAACTGATAAATCATAATATAATAAACATATTTTAGGTATATCTTCAAATATTTTTATCATTATTTATTAAAATGCGCATGAGCCTTATCAATGTATAAAATATATTATATACTTGGATGCATTTACGTTTATGGGTTATAGTTTATACTCAGTTACTGTATACGTTTTATTTATTTTTCATTATTCGCAGACTGTTGAATACTTTATTCACATATTTTAAATTACCATTGTCTAAGCACATGATAAGGGTTATGCACATTCCACTTCTATGCACATTCCCCTCGTGTACGTCTAAATAATGACGCATACGTATATTAAAACCATACGCTCATTTATCGAATGCCTTCAACTTAAGCACATATTTATTGGTAGAACCATATGAATTATTTATCAAAAATTTAGTATTAACTTAAGAATAAAAAAAAAATAATAATTTAAATTAATCATAGTGTTATTCAAAGCTTGAAACTGACATTTTTTTTTTCAATTTGGGTTACCGGATTTTATTTATTTTTTTGTTTCAATTTAAATTTCGAAAATTATTATTAATTTTTTTCATTTCAATTCGATTTTAATATATCTTTACTTATCGATGGATTTTATTAGTATTCAAAACTGAAATTAAATATATATTTCTAGCTATGTGACTAGGTTAGGTTATCTAAAAAAAAACATAGGTTAATTTTAATTACTATAATTATATTACAAAATATTTAATTTAATATAAGAAGAAAAATGTATTATTATAAGTTAATTATAAAACTTTTACCGTATTTATACATTTTAAGCGGCCTAGATTTAGAGCCTAAAGGGATAGAGTACTTTATAATGTTATCTTTTATTTTTCATCACACACAAATACACACATTATTATTATTTGGTTTATAAAAGAATCTAATAACAAATCCTCATTCCAAACAGTCTCTGTTTCGAAACAGTCCTCAATTAAAGATAAGTATACTGAATCTTCTATTCCTATTGTTTAATAAATCCAATTATGAACTGACAACTTTTGATGGCACTTGGGCTATAAAAATAGTTTTTTTCCCCCGCTTAAGTTAATATTTTAAAACTACAAAGATAAAAAAAAAAAAAAAAAAAAAAAACTATGAAATAATATTCTTATATTCTTTTACAACAAAATTTAATTTTTTTAAAACAGACATTCACAATATATTATAATGTATACATTTTATAATGCGCACGAAAACACTAATATTCGTTAAACTATATATTATGATATTTTACTGTGTTTAATATCAAACATATCAAAACCCAACTATTCATGTTTAGTAAATTAATCACATTTAATATGCATAGGTACTAATTATAATTGATTTTTAGATCCTCCGGAGATTGAAGTTGAACGTGTATGGGTGCATTCTGGCGAAGGAAATGAAGCACTGCTAGTTTGCATAGTCAATGCTGAACCACATGCTGAGGTAAATAAAATAATATTAAAACAAAATTATAAAGCACCAGTTGCTTGCAAAGTTTTTTTTTTTTTTTTTAATTTATGGTAACGAAGATTGTACTTCAATTTCAGTTTAATTATTTCAATGAATACGTTCGTATATTATACTAAAAAAAAATTATAATTCATAAGCATAAATTTAACTATTATTAATTAAATATAAAAAACAATTTATTTTTGGTCTTCATTAACATTTAAGATATCCAATTTAAAGTTCTAACCAATTCAACTATTTTAAACGTATAATTATTAATTATTATTGAACATTCAAATTGTAATAGATATTTGTTCTAAAGTTAGATTCGTATGAGTAGATTATTATAAATTATATTATACATTTTAGGTAATCTTGTGAGAACAAACATAATAAGAAATTCTATTTATAATATGTTTAAAAAAATATAAAACTTTGAATGGGGTACAACACTTTAAGTCAGACACATAAATGTACAACATTGTTGCAAATTAACTTTCAGCAGATATAACACTAATTATCACTTGTTTTAAAAGTTCAGTTCTGTTGAAAATAAAACTGTTTATTCGACGATACTCGATTCTTTTAATATTATATTCTCATGGTTAATTGGGTAATTTAAAATTGTATTTATTTTTCCAACTGTTTATAAAAATAAAAGTATTTTAATAGACAAAAGCCGTAGTATCCATAGCTAGGTATTGCTTATTGCTTAGTTCTTTCTACAACAATGATACATTTATGCGAAGATCTTCGAACAAATATTTTATACTTATTTCATCTTACGGTTTTTTAACAGCAGAAATATATCTTAGTCATCATAAAATTCAAATATGCATACATACTTATTTGCCTTAGATATATGTTTTTTGAATAAAACCATTAAACTTAGTCCAGTCTATAATTACTAAAGATTTACATTTTTTTTTTTTAAATCAATCGATTATCAGAAACTTGCAGTAACAACTATTTTACTATTATCTTATTTAAAATAATATTATGAATGTATATTAGGTACATTAACACTTACCATCGCCAATATATATATAATTAATAGTACACGTTTAATATAACTGTTAAATATACCTACTTTTTAGTTTGTATTATAACTCGTAAGTTGAAAACTTTTCACGAAACTCATAGGACAATTAGAGAGCGAACGAACTACTAACTGCGACATACCCTCGGGGGGATTCAGCGTGTCGACAGGCCTTTGCTTAATCGTAGTTCTACTCGGCCGTTTATTGTTTCACATAGTCTACCGTACGTCTTCGCTTTCGGAAATTCTGGATTGGTCCCTTCCGGCCACCTTAAAATTACAAATTTTGTCGCTGAAAATCACCACGTGTCGAGTATTTGTCACTGTTTGTCGTTGTAGACGAGAAACTTTCTCACGAACATAAAGCCTCGGGAAAAAAATGACAATAGTTTACAAGATAAACATTAATTATATCAACGAAATAACAACATAGTATATGTTATGTCAATTATACATTTTTATTAACATTCGAATACATAAAATGTATACATTTTCTAGTATTTTTCAACCTTTGTATAGCTTTGTTAGTTATAATTATTTTCAAATAGCTTATTCTTAAATATAAGTATTATGCCTTTGTCGTAAATCAATGTTATTTTATAAGAATAATACTAAGAATAATATTAACTATTAAATATATATAGGTAGGTACATATTTTTGGTCGATTTTTGTATTTAGATAATATTAGTATTAATTACAATTAATTATACGTGTTGTAAAATATTCCATAGTAAGAAAAATATAGGAATGATGTAGGTTAACAGAAAAAGTGTATTATAGTTGTTATTTTTATGTGCGAATAACACAATATTTCTTTTGATTTTTAATGATTAATATGTGTTAATACGAGTTGTATTACCGCAAAGGCCTATCGTGAAACTTGATATCTAAAAACGACAGAAACTCCGATATTTTGTATTGTCTAATTAAATTGTATTAAGTTTAGGGTAATATTATGCATTATGGTAATATTTTTATATTATTTATTATTTATTGAGATCTTATTATTTATTATATGCGTAAAAAAATTATATTATGAACGCACACATATAATATAATTATAAAAAATAATATCTTGACGAAATTTAATAAGTATAATGCTTATAGTTATTTTCATTTTTTATTTGAATATTTATTTCTAGAACTCGAAGAATGTTTAAATTAGATTGAGTTTAATTATTATCGATATTTATATTTTGCTATAAGTGTTACTTCAATGATAAGTTTTTTATATTGTAAAATACATTTTTATAGTAAAATTAATTTGTAAAGGTGAATAGTGATATATATATATATTATATACAATTATCTAAGTGTGTAAGCAACAAAAATTAGATTCATCGTATTAGCGAGTCAAAGGCACCGTAACTTATTGAACATATAACATCCTATATTTGAAAGGCTCGTTTATAATTAATACTCAAATGACAATATATTTTAATGTTTATTTTACGTAATATATAATATTGATATTGAAATTAATTTTATCTAATGAATAAATATCACAGCATGGAAGTCATGCTAATACGTGATTAGTATTACTCTATATTTCAGTTAAATCTAATATCGAATTTCCGTGGGAGGTATAGTATACCTTCAACTTGGGTTCAAGATTATAAGCAAGATTTATTGGATTAAATGTATTATATTATGTATATTTTAAATAAGTTAAACAACAGTATTAAATTAATATGAATAGAATAGCTGAAGTCACTGTTAATGTGTATGATATATGATATGAAGGAAATATATGTATGATTGGTGTTTGCTGCTTACTTTTATGGATCACAATAAATTCCACGATTTTTGAATATATGTTTGAGTTTCCATAGGGTTAGGTATAATTGAGATGAGAAAAAAAATTAAAGTATTGCACGGTCATAAAATTCGGTATAATAGATACTATAATATAATTATATCACGTTAGAAAGTCCTAGTTATCGTGGATATCGGTAATAATGGTTATAACTATTATTTAATCACCTTCACAATAAAATTAAATAATAATAATAATACAACTTATGATATTTTGTTGTAATTAATTGTAATATCAACGATTAATTGAGTACGATATTTTTTCAGGTGTCTTGGTATAGAGATACATTGAAGTTAGACACAAACGAACGTCGCATAACTGAAGTTAGAGGAAGCAGACATACTCTTATAGTGAGAAAAGTGCAAGCTAGTGATTTTGGAAATTACAGCTGCGTAGCCGACAATGTTGTGGGAAAGAGCCGAGCTTATGTTGAACTTTCGGGTAAATACAAGTTATCAACATTTTTTTTTCTCTTTAATTAATCTATTCAATTTGAATTGAACAATGTCTATAGTATAATTGTGTTATAAAATCTCTATTTCTGTGTCTATAGGAAAACCAAATCCTGTAAAAATAAACAGTAACAAAAACGGACGGCACCAGAACAATTACAACATATCTTGGTCGGTAGACAGCTACACTCCTATCGAAGAATTTAAACTATTCTATAGGAAAGTTCCGCTTCCGGACGAGTCCCCCGTAGACACACGGAATCAAGGCCAATGGCCAAAGAAGCCTCCTACTCGAAATGTGTGTTTTATTAAATATACAATTAAAAAAAAAAATAATAATAATAATAATCGTTTAGCACGATAGTTTAATTTGAAAAAATTGTCTAGTATTAAGGCTAATGAAATGGATCTTTGAAAATGTTAAAACTGAACGCCAATGTTTTCAGGATAACGAGGGATACGGCAGCAGTCCAATTTACGGATACAACAGCATGCGGAACGAATGGAACGATGTGATCCTTCCCGCCGTTCCCAGCGAACAATTCACTCACCGCATGGCTTACAACATCCGTGGATTGGACACCGCTTCCGAATACGAAGCCAAAGTTATGGCCAAAAACCGATTCGGCTGGACCCCAATGTCCGATGTATTTAAATTCGTCACCTCCGCCACTCCAGAAATCGGTAAGAATAAACATTTCGAATAACCATGAGTTCATTTTATTTTGTTTATATTAAAAAATTAAACGAAACAGATAAACATCACATATTTTGTTCGTTTTAATATTATATAAGTGAACATTTCGACTGTATGTACAAGTACGTAAAATATACGAGCTCGTGTAATTTTATTTTTTTTTTTGAACATAACACTGACAAATGACATTATTTACAATAATAATAACTACTAATAAGCTCTACTAAAAAAAAAAAAAAAAAATTAAAAAAACATGTCGAATTCTATATTTTCATTTTGTTTTAATGGATTTATAGTTTAATGTGGTATAGACACTATCGATTATGTTATTAAAAGTAAGCGCAAAGTATGTAGATAAACGATTGTGTTGTCTATTATGCAAAAGTTACATAACGCATACAAAATCGAAATGGATTATAGTTGTCTACGCGTAAAAGGTTTCATTTAATCTACGGGTTTTCAATAAATTGCACCGTGTTTTTTAATGTTCCATCTCGCGTACTCTGTACGTATAGCATCGTGTCTCATCTAAGGGTTTGCGTAATAATTCACCACCAGAGCGCCCTGTATATTCTGTGTTACGATGGATGTTTATAGGGAGAAAATACGTCTTGTCTTACGCTCAGTTAGCAAAGTAAAATATGATTGAAAAACCTCACACTTTAAATTGAATAAAATCTTGAATTATCCAGAATAATGTATACCGAAAATTCTTATGTGATGTTTTACCTAGGATGCTTTACGTTATGTATATATGTATATATGTATATATATATATATATATTATATATGATAAATGTACAGATGTGTTACGGAAACGTCGTATTTTGAATTCGAGTCTTGCTTACGACGAAAAAATAATGAACATGTCCTTAATTTTATTACTGATTGTATAATGTGATATTTGTATTACATATTTGAACAGACGTTTTTATGTTATTATTATTAAAGTATTTATACTTAAGAAAAATGTATGATACATGTTCATTAATGATACGTTATAATAGAATACAAAGAAATACGGCCCAATATTCACTTAATGTTTTGAGCTGTATATATTTTATTTTAAGAAATTCTAGAATTTTTTTAATATTTTTAATATCTGATTTGGAAATTAAATTATTCAAATTCCCATTTTTTTATTGTTTATAATACGTTTAACAACAACTGCATGCTATATAAGCATTTTGAATGTAACAATGTTTGTAAATGTGTATTTACTTTCTTTTTTTTTTTAATTTATAAGGTAGTTAAAATATATTATATAATGTATGGCGTGTTTGCATGAAATATTACTAATTGCTTGATTTTATGCAATACCACACATTCAAAAATTAAATTAAAAAAAAAAAAAAAAAATAAATGTTTGACGTGTAATAATTGTTTAATTACAAAGCACTATAACGGCCGACCGATGGTTACGAGATAAAGAACATATAACTTCTGACATGACTAAATTATTTAAATGACAGCATTGCTTACATACAATTCACAACATTACTATACAAAAACACAAGATATATTTTAATTTTTTTTTAAATGCATGGTTTTTTTATTTTTATTATTATTTTTTTATTTTTTTTTTTCATTGGCTGGCATGAGTAGAATCGAATCCAAAATATCAAGCATCCTATGGTATTTCAATGACATCAAGTGTGTATTTATTATTTATTATTTATTATAATTATTTTATTATTTTTATTTACACTATCTGACTAGCGTTTTACTGATAAAAACAAAGTGATTTGCATAAATGCATTATATACACCCTAAAATCGTTTATATTTGTTATAGTATTTGCCAATCGATTTTTAATTGATACTACTCCTTATGTATTATGAAATGCAAATGTTTATGTCACCGTACTCACAACATTTGATTTATTTTTCAGATGCCGAAGCCCGTGATCTTGGCTCTACTTCTTCATACAATGGATTCTCCAAACGCAGTTACAACGTCATCATATTCGTCGTTTTCAACACCTTGTACTTTGCATTTAACACTATTGTTTAAATCCCTAAAAACCTATAATTATCGAAGCAGTGGCATGAATATTGTAAAACAGGGCGAGCAAAAAATTCATAAAGGGTATTGCATCTTTTTAATTCAACTTTAAATTATTTTCTTAAAAGTTATTTCCATCATCTGAATTGTATAATATTTTTCTTTGAATGTCAAAAAAATAAAGGGGTGGGGGGAAATGAGCGAATATGCCACTGCTTTTAAGTTTTGATAAACAGTAAAAAGTAGAAAAATCATTTATCATCCACAGAAATAAAGACACCTTATTTAGAGTAATATAAACCTTCTGATCTAAACGTATATATATAGAAAAATCTTCATATTAAGTTTCGATTAAATCCATCCTTAAAAATTATAAAAATAAAATACATATTTCAATCAATCTATAAAATATTGAGTATCAATAGATTAGAGTATTAAACAATCCATTCAGTAAAAAATGGGCATTATTGGAAAAAAAAAATTAGTTTTTAACTATGATAATATACATAAACAATTATTTCTAGTCTCTGTAGTATGATTTTCTTATTAGATTTCATGCTTTAAGTTAATGTCAGATATTTCAAAGGAATCGATATAATTATAAACTATCTATTAAAAATTATACAATTTATTTCCAGTAAAGAAATTAGGGTAGTATATTTGAATCACTATTAAATTTTCAAACCTAATTTGCAATTTCTTATTAAAAAAAAAAAAAAAAACACTACTTATAATATTAAATTTCAATAATTTACGAATAAAAAATATGATGTTTTTCCTATAAAATTATTTATTCCACTTACGAGTTACGATATGCATTTATGTATAAGTTAGTATAACAAAAATGTGCGATTCATAATGTTTGAAAACAAACAAAAAAAAAAAAAATTGTTTGCATCAAAAAAACCAAACAGTGTAGTATTTTCCTTATTAGTGATGTGTTCAACGAAAAATGAAAAATATTATGCATTCAATATTTACGTATACTTCAGTATTTCAGTTACAATTATTTGATACAATTTAAATTCAATTTTCTTAATTACATGATTAAAAGTTATCAATGCAGTTATTTACTGTTTTTGAAAACAGTTATTTAATACATACATTGCAGTAGATACAATTTTACAGAATATGTGGCCACTTATAAATGTACTTATCTCAAGTTAATTTTTTTTGATTTATTTTTTGAAAAAATAAGTTGAACAAATATTAGAAAATCGTGCCAAATTATCCAAAAAAATAGTTCTTGAATAAACAAAGTACAATATTAGTTTGTTTTCTGTGTTTTAATAAATTTAATGTTAATTTTCTTCAATATACCCCTATTAATTATAAAAGTGTAGTTATTTAAATTTATGAATGTACGCGAGTGTTAGCTGTTATATTTCTCTCGTATTTTGATCTAAAATTTATATTTCACTGTATTGAAAGTAAAATAATAATTTTGGATCGCTTTTTAACGTACATAAATGTACAAGATGTTATTTCTGCTACATGTTTTTATTTGGCATGTGCATCTATTGAATACAGTTAAGAAATTATTATTTTTCAATAACTTATATTGGATTTTGCAGTAAATATATTAATACTATTTCTATAACTGTTGAGGTCCATAGATGACATTAGAATGCCATCATCCTTGACAGTATATTTCACATAAAATTATTTTGAACATAATATTATACTCATTACTATTTTATACATTTAAATTAGTTATAAGGATTCGCACTTCATGAACAGTATATTATGTACACATATTATTGTTCACGAACATTATACTATACATATGATCATCATTATCACATAAGTATTATTATAGGATTATAGATGACAGTAGTCTAAACTAAAGCTTTAATTATTTTGTAAATACGTATTGGAACTTTGTATGTACTATAATCGATAACATAAGTTCGTGAGTAACAACATAAAAACCATATTTAATTCATAGCAAAAACATTGACGATCTGTAATCAACTTTTTACCAGCATCTACCAGTCAAAACTACTTAAATGGAATATTGCCACCTTAATTCAAATACGTATATTTAATTTTAAATATTCGAAATATCGATATAGAAATTTTTCATGAATACACTTGACTTAAAGTCAAGCCTGTTTATGATCGTTATAAAAAATATACGATTAGTATCATCCATTGGCATTGATCATAGTTTTGAAATAGTTGTATTTATATACAATAATAATTAAATGAATTATGAAAATCATTATGTAATGAAAATGGTTGTATAAATATTGAAAATTAATTAAACAAATAGGCGATTCTCGTTTATACGAGCTTGTAAAAATTTGCAATGCGTTTGAGGCAATGGTTATAAAATATCGTTGTGTATTTGGGTATTTATTTTTTTTTGATACAGTATTATGTGTTTGGACAATATTTTACTGATGTATTTTTTCTGGCAGACTTAGGACTTTGTACAAAGTCTTTTAATATGATCGAAACTTCAAAAATAAAATATTTAAAATTACAAACAACATTAAAAATCGTGTTATGACAATTTATAAAATTTTCTTACCTTGAGTTTTTAATATGCAATATTTTTTGTTAATTCAAAAACTATTATTTTTAGTGAAACGAAAATGTCCTGATTTTTAGTCTGATTATTTATTTAGGTAAACATATAGATTTTTAAAAAACATTGAGAGTATTTTTTTTTTATTCATAAAACTTGCATTTTGTGTCACTTTACGGTTATTTTAATTTATCATAATACATTAGTTATTATCTGATAGATGTTTAAAACACGGGTTTGTTGAATTCATATTGACACATTATACTTTATATCTAAATAACAATACTGAATAATATAATTTACTTCACGTTTCAAATTGTGAAACACAACTAATATTTGCTCGTTAAAATACATTTTACAATCGTTTTCTAAATTTTTCTCTTGTCCTAGCACATTGTATCATACTCACTCAAATACATTATTAAAAACTCGACCAAACACATTGCTCTTTTTATGCGGGTAAAAAGGTAATTTACCCAAACATATTACGTTTAAATAAAGTAATATATAATAGCCTACTATGCATCAAAGGAAAACTGTTGTTTAATGATTAGGTGTATAATCATTTGAATTCTTTGAAAAGTATTGATTGAAAACGAGATTTATGAGATGTTTGGAGGGGGTTTTTTATCACCTTTAAGAGCGTGTTAAATGATATTTAAGTTGTTACAATTGTATAAGTCATTAATATTATATGTTACAATAGTTTCGTAAATTATACTTAATCAATTTTAAAATATAATTAGTGTGTTGATGTTTTAAATGTTAAATTATATAATTATTATGAGTATATTATACACATTATTATTATGAATGTTATTCTTATATGATTAAACTAAACACTAAATTATAATATGTTAAAGTAGAATATTATACTTCATAATACATATGCATTTTTGAAACACACGTATACACATATTAATTCTAGAATAATATTTACAATTTTAAGTTTAATAATACATTTTATTTCAAAAACTAACATAAAAAAAAATTATAATACATTCTTTGTTAATTAATGTGTTTAAATCAATTGGCAAGATAGAATTTATAATTAATTCAAACATTACGAAATATATCTAAAACATGATTATAAAATACATTAAAGAAAATTACATAATTATGTATATTATATCCAAATATTTTTACAATTTTAGTAAATATGGAAATAATATTTTATTAAATTTTCTATGTCCATATAGTATTAGAAGTATATTATTATAATATCCACTACAAAAATAATAAAAAATACTTTATGTCAAAATATTAGAATTAAGGATCTATTAAATATTTTTTACTAAACTATCTATCCCCCTCCTATATGTTTCTCATTAAATAATAAATTCTTCATTATTCGTTTGTAGTTTTTTAATTTTAATTTTTTATAATATACTAATTTTCATATGATGAAAACAATTTTTTTTGTTATACATGTGCATTTTACTTTTTATTTTTTAAATCTATGGACATTTTGAATAACATAAGTATTATAATTAGTGGTGTAATTATTATTATTATTATTATTATTATTATTATTATTATTTTTTTTTTATCTATATGTACCTAAAGACTTTTTGTTGTTTATGTAATTACCCCTATAACTGCTACTTCTTTTATTATTATTTGTATTGTATTTAATTTTTTTTTCTTTATTTATTTATTTTTTTTTTTTTTATTATTATTAATTTTTAAGAATATCTAGTGAATAATGAAATACAATAGAAGTAGGTGATGTGTAAATAATAGTTACCTACCTACTTATTAGTTAAACATTAATATTTAAGGCTATTAAATGTTAGACCTTAACCTATAATATTATGATATAATTGATAAAATATTATTTAATAAATCTATCAGAGTGAATATTCCAACGTGTATTATTTTAGTGTAACGTTCGCAAATGTGTAATGATTAATGGCGTTTAAACCAATATAAAGTTTAGTCATGCTCAAATTACTTCGACCATAAATGCAACACCCATTATAATATAATTGCGAATAAAAATGTTATTTATAATAATATCACGGGGTTGAATACACAATATTATTACCTCAAATCAGAATAATAATCTTATCGTCCCGGAAATATGCGGTGTTGAGCAGTAACGACGAAACAACGGTATGTCTACGTTGCTCAGTTTATAAAATATCACTGTAGAGACATTGTATTGTTTGTATCCGGTCATGAAATTTAACTAGAGATGTCACCAAATAACGAATATGTAAAACAAACTATCGTAATACTGCACATTACCGTTTCTGTTTCGTGTCGAAATGTTAAATTATGAACAATAGGAAAAAAATTGTAACCGTCAATATCTATCTATAATGCTGCTGGTGTTGGGTATTGGCAATATATCTGCCATAAATAACGAGAAAATGATTGCTTTTGTGGGTATGTCACGTGGACCCATGGTTGATAGATGTTTACGTGTTGACTGTGCCGTGTTAAGAAGGTGTTTATATTGCACTTACATGATCGTTTATTTATTTTGTTTCATTAAATTATATTGTAATTATCTCTACTAACAAGACTTACGTTGTTTGCCGAATGAAGTTTGTTCAGAAATAACAGAAATATTAGTAAAATATTTTTATTTTTTTTTTTGCGTAAAAGTAACCAAAATATTTTCTGATTAAAAATTAAAATAATCTTACTATAATATTTCATTTGAGCAGGTAACGAGTTAAGTAACTTCATAACTCGTATCTTCAAGGTCGTGTAACTTACTTACTTTTGACTTGTAAAATATTAAAAATATGTGAACAAAGGTGTATCTACAGTGTTTATAATGTGTCAGTGCCTAATCGAAAATAATCTTATATTATATCGACTTTTTAAAACAAATCTACAACCTTTACAGTTTTCTATTACAAACCAATGTATCGCGATATTACAATTATAATACTTGAATTATTCTTGCATGTGGTGCATAATTATGGTACTGGATTAAATAGATCACTTTTTTAGTGTGAATTCCACCAATGAAAATGCTATTAAAAAAAAAAAAAAATCATAATTTTTATAGTAATTATGGTCCATATTAAATCATTAAATCATAGTTGCGTGTAATATGCCAAAAGATTTATAAAACTTAAAATTAAAAAGTTAGTTCAAAACATACAGGCATTTTTCTTATAATAATAATAAAAATATAATAATGACAACGAATCACAGCACCCTTTCTTTAGCTCTTCAAAACGGTGTTATTTTAAATGGCTATTTTCGCTCTATTTATCGATGGGAAACCGTTTTTATGTCTTATCGGTTAATGGTTTTGATGATCTATTATAATATGTTATGTTTCTGACAACTTCATGGGCTATTACAGTATTTAAAATGCTTATTTTTATTTACTCTGAAAGTAAAATACTCGAAGGCAGCTTAATCTGTACCTTTTAAAAACCTTGTTGTGGTGTCATTTTATAAGATATATGTATTTTAGCAACACTTATTTTAATAGTATTATTGTGGGTTACAATTACAGATACAATATTTTACAAACTAGCTATACAATTGTTTTTTAGAGTTTTTACTGAATGTCATAAAAAACAAAAGAACGGTAAAATTTATTACGAAATCACGAATTTAAACGTACAAAAATTGAAAAATAATTAATAAATGGTTTGGTATTTTTATTATTGATATTAAACCACTAAGGAACAATATGTATACAAATCCGTTAGTATTACACAAATGATACCATTGTTAACCATATCATTGCGCTTATTTTCAATTTTGTTTTACTATTGGTCGGTGTAAGTGAGAAACATATTTTTCTCTCCGTTTTTTGGTCTAAAGGCATGTTTAGCAAAAACAAGAAAACTGTATCCATAATAATATATATTTAATATTAATAATTTTTACAGCCACATGAAACTTATTAACGTGGGTATACCGTAGGATAAAATTATTCTTATAACAGATCATAGAATAATTAGAATAATATAATGTTGTGAAAAAAACTTACTACAAAAATACACAAAACACATACATGGTTTGTGTACTCATAGAATGTATCCTAGAATGTGATCCTATCGTCAATTCGAAGAAAAGAAATAATTTAATTATATATTTGTATGTAAACAATTCACATTTAATCAATATTTCATTTAATAAATATTTCAGCATAATTACCATACTTGTAATACAATAAATTAATTTATTAACATTTTAATTTATTATATTTTCTGAAGTGCTGGTCAGTGGTATGTTAATGTTAAGTTTGTGCTATGCATTATAATATGTAAACTTATTTGTTTAAATTATATTACACATTTATACCAAAAAATAAAGTAATTTACCATATTCTGATAACTCATACCGATTAAAATGTTAACGTTCAAGAGATTACAGAAAGCGCGTCATTTGATAATCATTGTCCTTTATTTGATAATTTACTTTTATCCTTCACTAAATCCTATTTTGTTTAAACTTTTGGCTAAAACTTACTATGAACTCCGTTACTTATATTATTATATTTTATTACACAAGTTATAATTTACATGAACTAGATTATAAATAATAATAATATTAAAAGTCACCAGTTACAACCATTTACTACTTGATTAACTTAACTACTATGATTGTTAGGTATTCATTTATAATAACTATTATAACCTTATATTATCAACGTCTGATCTCTAAAAGTTGTACAAAATATTGATTATTTATAATGTTGGACATAAGCTTACAAAAAATAAAAAAATAAATACTCGGATATTTTTTTTATAACTTTTTAAGCATTAGCTTAAAAATATTTTTGACATTATATTTTCAACAATAAAACAACTAAAATAATAGGACTATTTATTATAATGAGCATTCAATATAATATAGGTAAGTATAGTACTATAGTTAAAGTCGAGTTTTCAAAATATACGTTGTTAAAATACTTCACAGCAAATATTTAACAAATGATACAATTTAAAAAAGATAATAAATAATCTCATAATCTCAATAATGCGATTGAAGGTTGAGAATTTTGTATCATAACGTATAATAGACAATATCATATTGTAATAACTATGAATACGTGACATGTGATGGAAATTTTTTCATGCTTATATTTATTCGTCAATCAATACGTAATTTTAGACAATTCTGAATAAATTTCCTGAAAAAAAAAAATATGAAAAACTGTGTTAAAATACAAGAAAGATAAAACCAAAATGCAGTTCTTATTGGGACACTTAGCACCCATAACAATAAAACACCAAAGACTTATAATATTATATTATAACACAAACGGTTTTTTTTTCTGAAACACTTGAGTTAATAGAAACCAAAAAGAAAAAAAAACAATAATTGGGTTAATCCAAACATCTTAATAGTTTTTAGTTTTTACTATATCAATTCTTTAAGATATTATGTATTTTTTTATGTGTTTTATATGATTAATTCAATTTTTTAGTTAGTTTTTTTTTCAATAAGAATACAAAAATTTACTGATAAGTATAAAGAACTCAGATAACTATTTAAATGGATATATTGTTATAAAAATAATCATTATTATTGATTTTATATCAAAATTATTTTATGAAACCAATCATATAGATTGAGTAAGTACTAAGTTTTAAAGTTGTCTTTTTTTTTTTTTTTTTACACTAATTAACACGTTCGGTACTCACTAATGAACAGTTTGAATATCCAAACGTTAGATAATATATTTATTTTTGTTTCATTTTTAAATACACTAAAATAAACCTAAAAATTCCAATACATAATTTGAGTATATAATACTATAAAATTGCTTAAACAAAATACAATTTTAGGTATAATAACAGGTACTGTAAACATTTTGTGAAAAATCAAGTTAGTGTTAGATAATACTCACTTAATCTTCTTTTCAATTTCCTTATCCCGGCAAATTAATTGGTGGCCAAACTCATATTTGGCGTCATACAAAACTAGTTCAGTCAATGCACTATCCCGAGTTGTTGTGATGTAATTATACAGCTGTAAGAATGAAAAACAAGTATGTAAATGTTTATAAATTAAACTTGTATTTGATCTTTATAACAATAAAAAGTTATACAGTTTAGGCTAAAAGAAGCCATTTTTAATTATTTCATCTTGTATCATAATAATTCGTTTCATAGCATTAAAAGTTTATTTATTTATTTATTTTTATTATTTGAAGAATAATAAAATTGTACATTAATTTATTACAGATATGTAATATTCCACATTTAACTATTATATAAATTTTTATACGTGTGAATCAATTAATATTTATATAAATGATATTACGAGTACTATTTTTTAACGGGAATTTTAATTTTGTTGACTTATTAAGTGTTTTGTGCAACTTAAAATTAAATACTCTAATACTAAAACGTATACATAATAATATTGCAAACATAATTAAAGACCTCGGAAATTCTAGCTATACCATACTTTGTGTAATATTTATCTGTACAATTATTTTAAGTATCTTAACATAATATATAATATGTAAACTAATGAAAGAAAATGTAATTTAATAGTTATAGTATTAGTAATAATACGGCGTTTTGAATAGGTGATTTAGGTACATCGACGACAAGGATCCATTTTCATGTCCATTATTTTATAATAATTATATTATACACAATTTGATTACATAGGAAATAAATCACTTTTTTATTTCATCAGAAAACACATTATTTTTTATATTCAAAATTAGAGTACGGGTAAATATGTTCACGGAGTTAATTTTCTGACTAACGAAGTTCAAAGAGAAAAATATAGAAAGTACAATCAACCAGATCAAAATTGTTAAACCCTTTTTTTTTTTAATCCACGGCTAATTTATAAATTAAAATGAATATAGTGGGTTGGAAAGAAAAAAATACGATCAACGAATGTAAGTTCACAAAAATTGTTATTTGATTTATTAATACACAATCACAACCCGTATGGCCGTATGATGCGTACTGATATTAATGTATATTGTATATTATCTATTTGGTGTTAGCGAATGTATGCTGTATATCTCTTACGATAAATTTTAAATTATGAAGTTACTAAAATGAACTATAAAAGAAAACTGCGTATGTAGGTTTTATAGCCTGATTCTGATAATTACTAAAGCAAGTAAATGACTTATATGCAAATGTCGATAAATGTATAAATAATAAATAACCAGATTAAACTACTTTTAGATTCTAACCAAAGAACTTTTCAAAAATATTCTGTATAAAGCAATACATTTGAATTCACCTTAATATCTTGCAAAAATGATCACTTAAATGTAATAATAAACCTAATCCATTAAAAAAATTATTAGAATAAATAGCTAAAATTTTGAAAAATAATAAAGAAATCATATACAAATTCTGTATGCTAGATGAAGTTAATCAATTGAATAAAACAGAATAATTAAAACTTATATCTTTATTTTTAAAAAGTTGTCATAATTATATTCTTAGAAAACTGATAAAATAAAAAATTATAATTGGTCATTGCCTAATATTAAAGTGAAACTTATTGAGAAGTTTCATAAACTCCCTGATTGACTAATTGATTACATTACGATTTTGAAATAAAAATTAAAGAATATACTGCCATGATAGCTAGATTTTTTACTAACAATAACAGTATTATGCAGTTATTTAAATATAAATATGGATGAAAATGATAATTTTTCACATTTGTATAAATTAAAGGGATTAAGAGAAACAGTTTTATAATAATTGTTCTCATTATACAATTAAAATTGCTAAAAAAAAATGTAAATAAAAATTGAAGAAAAAAATCAAATTAATGATTAGTGCATTTTATAATATACTGACGTTTTAAAAAACAAATATTTCATTTAAACGAAACGATGAGTGAAATAGAAAAAGACATCTAAAAATAAAGAATACAATTATAATTATTATATTATACTATTTTATAGAAAATAGCATTGTGAACCCAAAGAACAGATATAAAGAATAGAAATAAAATATAAATAATTCTGTTAAGTGATCATTCTTACGTAATAGGAATATATAAAAATAAATTCATACATTTTGATAATAATAAAAATTAAAGACGAAATAGATATTATTATAAAAGGGAAACTATATACCACACACATTAGAACGTGAGAAAACAACAATGATAAGTATAAATCTAATAGGTTTTATAGTAAATATTATTGTGGTAATAATACATAAAATATATCTATTCATCCCCAAAAAAGAAAGGTATAAAAAAACGATTAGTAGAAATAATACAATGTGTGATTTAGTCAGAGTTATTAATTTTAACATGCTTAGGCGAGTGAACAAAACGTTTTTATGATCACTCATCGGACACACTTATACATGTATTATAGTAAATATATAAACGAGAATATTTCTAATCAGGTGTGGTCCACGAATAGTTAACAAAATACTAAGGTCCGTTATTTTCATAAATACAAGTAATACAAAATATTTTCATACATTTAAGTAAATAGATAAAATATTTAACTCTAATATGATAAATTTCATAACGCATAGTTTATAGATAGATATTCCATAATATTATACGATTACGAATGAACATTCTGTTTTCACGCATCGATTAAAAAAATAAAAAATAAATATATATTAAAAATATTTTACGTCGCCTGGTTGCATTCTAAATTCTGGGCTATACTGACAAAACTATTTAATTATTATATATTATACTATGAAACGTTCCATGTAATCGTTTCACATAAAAATTAGTAACGAGATGCAACAGCGACTTGATATTATTATGCGAAGTTTAGACGAAGACGACAGCTTGGGGCTAATATTTTATTGTTGCGCCTCAGCACAAATTTTCCGCTGATATAATTTAGCATATTTTTCGTTTAAACAAATATTTTCATGGGTTCATCAAGTCATCGCATAATGCTATATTTATACAAAACAACATCATAATAATAATTGGCGAGTATTATTAATATTAAGAATTAAACCAAACATATTATAAAAATCAACAAGTTTAAAAATAGCATACACGACTAGAACTATTATACTGTTACCGTGTGGTAGGTTTTTATTCTTTATTGTCTAAAAACTTTCTGCTATCTTTTTGAGCAACTTTTGTACCATTTTGATTGTATAAGTGCTCATCATTTATTCAAATAAATCTGATTTACGAGTTTTTGTGACCACACGATATATTTTATTTTTTTTTACATTTTTTGTAGATGAAAAAATAATATAATTTGTTAGTTAAATAGAAACTGTTTTCGTAAATCAGATATTTTTTTGAATGAAAATGTTATGGTTTCATAAAATACGTTATATTGACATTTTTGTAAATTTTAATAGAAGCTTATTCAATAGACGTTGCATTGTATTTAAAATTTTAGCTATTATAACCTCCTGCATTTTTCCCAATTTTGGATCTTATAATTGATATGAATCTATCTAATATTTTATTTTATTGAATAAAAACAAAATGTATCTGGTTTGTTTTATATATATATATATATATATATATATAATATGTTATTTAAAAAAAAAAATAGAACCGATGAAAATGTTTGACAAACATTAATTGTTAAGTGTTAATTTATTCAAATAGATAATTAATATTTTATGAACCCATTTGTTATAGAAATATTATAACTGATCTATGTTGCTTATGAGTAAACTTTGAAAATTATTTTTATATTGTAAATGTTTGAATTATTTATTTAAAAATAAACATATGAGCATAAATAACCATGATAGTTTATATAAATAAATAACAATTATTGTGTGGATTCATAAAAAATAAATAAATTATTAATATTTAAAAAATACATTGTGTGAATAAAACGAGTTGAAAAGTAATCACAAGCCAAAAATAAATTACGCCATCAGTATAAAAGCTAATAATTTTAAGTTTATGTTTAAACCGAAATGAGTAGATCATTTAAATATCAGAAATATTTACTACTTGAGTAGCAGATGGTGGACAATAATGAAAGTCAAGGTTTTTTTTTTGAATTTTTTTTAAATATATATACCTATCTGACCTATCTAACAAAAGAGAATATATATTGTAAATACATAGAATGAGAATATTTTTACGTAAAAAAAAAATATAATGATCAAATACAAAATATTTTATTCATAAACAATATTTTTAATAATAAAATAGAATCCTACGAGCATGTCATAACTGACTAACTAGCGGCATGGCTTTAATATTTCTGCTGACCCTATTAAAGCGTGACATAAAAACCATGAGTGTCAATTAAAAAGTATAAATCTTTATTTACATCAAACCAATTGAACATTAGCAAATGTACATTCTTACGAAATTAAATTAATTTTTCAAGCTTGTGTTGTTTTTAGAGAACAATTTAAAAAATCTGTAAACTAGATAACTATTCTGCTGTTAGTAAGTGTCAAATTTATCGAGTAGGTCACTATAATGGGGACGTTAAACTTAAATTTAATCATAAATCTAAGTGCATATATGATATAAACGAATATAAGTAAGAAAGTTTAACTGCTTGGTATCAAAGTTACAAAATAAATATTTTTATAACAATATTAATATCTTAACCATAATATTATACTTTTTTTTTTTTTTAATTCCTGATTAAATTGTACTAAGATTTTAAAATTTTGCCTTAATAAAAGTAATAATTTGATCTTATTTGCTATCAGAAACTCCCCTGATAATATGTTTAAAATTAGCAATTTTTTTCCACTAAAAAAAGTTTTCACAGACAAAAAACTCATATTTTAAAATTAATACATTATTTGTTTTACTAATTGCTTAAAAAATATTGATCAAATAATAATTGGGATATTATAGAACCAAATAAAAGTGCTTTTATACTGCTCATTTTTTATTTACCTTCCCCCTTTCCCAATAAAATAAGTAAATTTAAATTTATGAGTAAATGTATCTTGTCAATTTTCACCAGCTTAACAAAACGATACTAAATAAATATTCAATCATTTTATGTGGCCAATTATTTTTTAACTGTTTTATAGCACAGATATACTTTTGTGTTTTAATTAAAAGAATACTATAATGGTGAAAAACTGGGTTTGTAACAGGTTTTGGACTTGTTTAATAAAAAATAAATGCAAGAACGGAAAATAGTACTTATAATTTCAGAATATATAAACAATTTATTCAATTATTACCTATATGAAATTTTTTTTTCAGCTAGATAATAATATTTATTATTTTAAAAAATAATTAAAATAATCATAACTTAATATATAGCAGATGTTTTAAATATAGTAACAGCTTACAAAACGTATACTAAGTATGTTTTTTTTAGATTATATAGTATGTAGTAGTGGGATACTACAATTAATATGGAACATGAAGTAATTACTAAATCCTCAAAACCTAAAATAGTATGAAAAAATATGGAAAAATATCCAAATTATAAATGCATCAATTCAATAAATAGAAAAAGAAAAAAATAAATTTAAATTAAATTAAAAATGAGTGAAGCAAAACTAATTATATGTTGTGTTTTTAAATTTTGTATTAAAAAAATAAATAAAAGAAACAATTTCATTATAAATAAATTATAGTTTATAATCATTAAAAAACACATGGTCCATATTTTATGTTTAATCCATGCATCATGATGTAAGTAAATAATAAAATTACCAAAAATGCAAACATAATTACGTTTTTATACTTACATTTTCACTGAGCTGATATGGTATTATAATATCGTCTCGTGCATGCAATATAAGCACTGGTACTTTTGAATTTTTCAAGTTTTGTTCTGTATCAAAAACAATTCCATTTTCAATGACTGGATCAATGATGAAAAAATCGAACCAAGGAAAATAGCGAAGAACCTGATAAAAACACGTAATTTCTCATTGAAAAATAAATGTGTAAGTTATACTTAATATTCAAACATCTTATGGGCGAAAAAATAGTTGCATATAATTTTTAGATAAATAGAGTAGGCTATTCAAAGTAATAAATTATAAATAGCTATATATTAATATTACTTTAGTAGTTGAATATTCCCTGATTGCATCACTAATTTTGTTGAATGGAGCTTCTAAAATAAGTCCACTTGGATGGATGTTTTCTTTTTCTAATAACGAAAACGCGTGTGCTCCAATTCTAAAAAATAATATTAAACACGGTTATTGAATAATAATTAGAAAGCTGAATATTCATAAAAATGTCTATTCTCCAGATAAATAAAGGAAATTATTTATTATTTTTGTTGCATTTATTTATTATGGAGACGAATTTCGTTGTTTATATTATATTATTATGACTAAGCATAACATAAGTAAAGTTATAAGTTATTAAACTCGATCATAACGTTTAGCTGTTAAACAGTTATTATGTTTCATGACAATTTATAGTATAATGCATATTGTATACACACACTGTATTTAGTTATTATTTTTTTTTAAAGTATCTAAACTAACACATTTTCAAACTTTTAACTATACTAAAAAACCAATTTATTAGATATAATAAAATAAGATTAATCTGAATATTTAACAATATAATAATATTTATTATGAACATCAAGTTGAAAATAGCAGATAAAATTAATAAATTATTAATGAGCAATACCCGTTTGTGTACATTTTTTCCTTTTTGTGAGTAATTACGTTCAACTAGAATAAGCATATAGAAATATATAGATAATAACACAATATGTAGCCGAATTATCGCCGTCAAAATCTGTTAATTGATTAAATTCGAATCAATTAATACATGCATGTCATTGAAATGTTTGAGATAAATTGTATCATTATCTTGTATTAAATACTGCAGGTTACAGTATTAGAATAAATTTGGAATGCGATTTAATAATTGTACGCAAACGAGTCATAATTTTTCAGGTCGAAATTTGTATATTATGTGCAAACGAGTATCACTGTTATTAACTAACACGTATTTCACATAAATATCAAAAACTGTTTTACATAACTTTAGTATTACGGATAAGTCAAAATTAAGATTTAAGTTCAATAAAATGAAAAAAAAATACACCATGCCACGAAATAGCGATAAAATATTATTTTAATTTTTATATTATATTTTCAGTATGTTTTAGCTTATAAAATTTTCTGATTTAAGTTCAAAGTATGTTTTTTAAGCATGTGTGAAATATTTTTAAAATTAAGCATCTAAAAAATGTAATAAACATATAGTTGCTAAAATGTTATTTTCAATTTTTCTAATTTTTTTAAAAATAATTTATGAAATTCAAATAGTAACATGTAATATAGAATTTGTGTAATAAATACAATGGGAGGAAAATGTTTTTAAAAAAAGGTTTGCTTGATAATCATTTAATATAAAAATGCTTATTAAATATTTTGTTATAAAAAATATTCGCCTTTAAGTAAACATTAAACAATAGAGTGATCAATGTTCTTTTGTAATAAGCTTACAATAAAAAAAAAAAAATTCAAACTTTGAGAAGGATTTGTTGCTTACAAGCCATTGAAGATGATACACTGTGTAATGAAAAACGTATAAGTAATATTAGATGAGTGCTTATGAAGAGATATTTAAAGAAATAATTTTACAAAATTAAATGGCAAGTATTTTAATGAAGTAGCTCATTAAAATATATTGATAATTAACTCTCATTTGTTTTTTATTTAACATTTAAACTTTGAAAAATGGCTGTTTTTATCCGTTCTGTATAAATAAGGTGTTTTATGAAATATATCAACTTTTTTACAGCTTAAAATTATGCGGATGAAAACAAAATACATATTTGTGGTGCAAAGCTTTCACCCTTCACTTAGTATTAAAAATATGGCATTTTAGAACTTCAAAATAAGAATTGTGATATATATATATTGCACATAATTACGTAAATAATAATTTAATAGGTATTATAAATATCAAACATAATGCAACAGTCAAAAATTTGAAATATTTTTAACATAAAATAATTTATTATAAGTTCTATATTGCTATAATATCTTCATAAATATAAATTTTGTGTAATGTAGTTAAAAAAAAACTGATAAAATAATAATCTGTAGGTACACAATAGTTAATGGATATTACAACTTATGAATGTATTAACATATAGTAAAGTATAGTCATTCATAAAATATGCAGTTCATCAAAGTTTATTTAAAATATAACCGAAATATCGTTTATTTGAATTCTATGCAAATATTAAATACTATTATTGTATGATTATATTAATATTTATATTCTTAAATACGCCAGTAGTGAACTTCTTTTGATGCACGATTTGTATAAAATAATATTATGTACAATTATTCATTGAATAAAAATAAATGTAAATTAAAAACTCTTTAAAATAAATAAAATCGTAATTTTTTGTTTAAATATTAATTTAATTTTGTTCAAATTTAAACTTGGATTATATATAAAATACATAATATTTTAATCAGCGCCAATAGCAAAGCTCGTCGTATGTTTTATTATATATTCTTATCATTTCTAATTTAGTTTATGTTTTACGTAATAAATACAAAATGCATTACCCAGTGCCAAGAGAGTGTCCCCAACCAAAAATCGGTACTCCTTTCGCGCGTTTATAAATCCATTTAAATGTTTCCATTACGTCCGATACTAAGCCGGTCTCGTCGAGTTCGACGTCTGTGGAATCGGCATAACCTGGAACAAATTAGTTAGATTAGGTTAGTTCAGGTTATACGAAATAATAAAATATTTAAACTGTACTTCTGTAGTCTACAGCTATCACATGGCAGTTAATATTTTGGAGTTTTCTATACAATTCTAACCGTAGATCATTTGCGCGGGTACCAGAGTTTCCATGCATATATATAATAATTGGTTCTCCGTGACTCAAAAGTGATTCGTAATTAGATTCGTTTTTTCCGTATTTTACAATCAAGTTACTGGGTAATATGTGCCTGTAATTGTATTAGTATAGTAATGACAATATAAGTACGAACAATGAATAATTAGAACTTAGAAGTGATTACATGAAAAAAAAAAAATTATTCATTATTATAATACACCAAATTCTTTGAAATATGACTAAATGATTTAATTTTAAAATTTTCCATGCAAATAGGTATTAAATTCAAAATATCTTTTTTTAAGTTTTGAAAAGTACTTGTATTATTAAAAAACTACATATTCATCATATTTTCTTTAAATTATGAGAAATATTATTTTACTTATAAATAACGTCATAACGTCAAGAGTTTACATTAAATACAACAGGCTAAACAATTAATAATTTTAAAATGTCTTTAGCTTTATTGTGTAATCATAAAAACAAATGGTAATTCAATAATTTAAATCAAATCCTAATTTATTATAATATTTTGTAATAACAATTTACAGTAAAAAATATCAACACTGTTTAAACTTAAAAATTGTATAATTTCTAATAGGTAGTTTAGAATTTCAAACACTTGTTTAATTATATATATTTAAAAACTAATTTGTTTAAAATTTATTTGACAATTTTAATTTGATTCACTTGAAATATTATAAAAAACTTATTTTAAAATAACCATAATGTTATCTAATAAATTATTAATTTTCATAATTATTTATCGTAGTTATTAAAGTAATTG